TGGCTAATTAAAGTGTTTTTTATTTCGTTTTTTCTTTCTGTTATGTCTGTTATTGTACTCAGGGGCACAAGGGTCTTTTCCCTTGTTATTTCTGCTGCCCTATATATATTAAAATAAAGGCTGGCACCGCCAGCACTGTTACATTGCAAAACCCTTCTTTCTTCCCTCCTCTCCTCTTCTCTTCTTCTCCTCTTCTCTTCCCTTTTCTTCCTCTTAATTCTGGCCGGCCATACTGTCAAGATGGTATCAGAGCAGGAATACTGATTAAAAGAGAGCAGATCGAACAACCTTACTGAGAGAACAGATCGAACAAACTAGCAGAACCTGGGCGGAACAGAAATCTGATTTGGGACTGAAAAAACAGCTACAACTGGTACAGTTCTCCCAGTTTTTCTCTTCTTTACCCTCCTTGGTCATGTGCCGAGTGAAAACCCTATGAGTCTGGGCGGCTGAATGCTGTTGAATCTGTGTACCCCCTCTTTTTTTGGATCGTGTGATCCTGTTCATGTGTTAAGACAACTGTAGGTCGAAGATGACCTGTCTTCTCAATGGTTTGATTTAACTATAAGTAAGAAGGATCTCTCCTGCTGATTAGTGGTTGTTAGACATTCTGGAATTCTGGTAGATTGGGACTGTTAAAACTATGCAGGTCTAAAATCTGCYGAATATTACCTCTGTTTTGTCCGGAATTTGGTACTGTTTGTGCTCAACCTGGTTGTTAAACCCAAGTGTGTGGGTGTGAACTGAGTGGAGCATTGTTTTGTGGAGTAAGGAGGGGTCCTAAGTCCGGTGTTTGGGACTGATTTACTGTTTGACCATGTCGACTGAGAATTCTGCTACTTCAGAGATTATAGGGAGCCACAACGGAGTGAGTGGGGGAATGGATATGAGCTTTCTCATGGCTGTTATTCCCTTTGATGGTCTGAATTACCTTGAGTGGTCTAGGGGCATAAAACTCTACATCACTGCTAGGGGGAAAATATGATACATCAATGGGAGAGTAAAGGAGCCGAAGTATGGAAGTGTTGAGCATGATAGGTGGAACCAAGAGAACAGTATGGTGATGTCTTGGCTCTTGGTTTCAATGTTGCCACAAGTAAGGAAGACTTTTATGTGGGCTGAAACTGCTTGTGAGATATGGGAACAAGCGAA